AACCAAAACCAATCCAAATAAAAAAAATATCAGTTTACTTAATCGGTTTGGTTCGGTTTATTTTTCGGTCTTTTAAAATAGAACCAAAACCAAACCAAATATTATCGGTTTTTAAAATTTAAAACCAAAACCAATCCAAATAAAAAAAATATCAGTTTACTTAATCGGTTTGGTTCAGTTTTTGGTTTGGATCGATTTTTCGTCAAACCGTGAACACCCCTACGGTTAGTGTAGCTGAAGAAAAATGAAATAATCTTTTGCGGAATCATCTTTTGCATCTTCGTCACAATTTTCTCTTTTTTCAAAATTCACAGGGATAAATTTTTAGTTGTGTGATTTTGTTATTACTTGAATCTAAGTTAGATGGTGCATGTGGGTTAAACCAGCTGAATAAATAAATAACTCTCTGAATTTAATGTTTGTTATATGTTGATGTCTCAGTAATGCTATGTTGTTATTCATACTGTGATATCGTATTCTATTTCTGCGGATCTTAAGTTCCTTTGGATATATTGGTTGTGTAATTAAATATTACATGTTGGTTGTTTTATAATGGTAATCTTCATAATCATAAACGTTTATAATGTGAAATAGCTGTATCATTTCTGGTCATTATATTTAATTGTTCTTTCATGAGTATCCTTTGCTATAATTTGATGGAAAAACTATAACTATAATGATGCACAACGACGTGTAGGAAAACTGGAGTACCGATAGTTGAGAAAAAATTACATAAATGGATCTTTGACAATAAAAAAATGCGCTCACTCGATGACAGAAGCTCATGATAAGAATGTCAAATACTGAACGATAGATAACTGTATAGCAATAACTATGAAAGAAGAAATGTTGTTGGATATTTGTTTTTCGTAAGTTCTCTTTCCTATGGTAAACGACTGATGTTCTTGCATTATGAGTACTTATGATATTTTCAACTTCAGCTTTAAAATAACCCTCTCTATTTCACAGCATTGTTGCAACATTTATGCCTAGCTGCCAGTTTGCTGATGCAGTTAGGACCATAGTACCTCCTGAACTGATATATTCCATTTTGTTTTCCTTATAGACTATAAACAATAATGCTAACATATGCTTCACAGTATGTTCTATATCAATATAATCAGGAAGAACAATCATCTTTATGTCCTATTTCTTGTGAAAACATCATCAAAAGCTTAATATGATGTGCTAGAATTAGTTAGATTTGGCTTGTGCATGTCAGTGTACATAGGTACATCATATGTTCTTCACCTACTCAATAATATTATATCTCACCGTCTTTTTTAGTTTCCGAATCCACTTATGCATTTAATTAAGAGTACAAAACTTTTAGTCATTTGGTTTATAATCAGTTCAGTTACTTTTATTGATCAAGCAAAAAATAAGTTGGAGCATTTACCACTATAACCTTTTTTTCTCTTTTATGCTACAGATAAACTGGTGTAATCATTTCAAATATGGCATGGCATGGGACGACTTCTACTTTCCCTTGCAAAATTTGGGATCTGATTCACCTATTTTTCAAACTGTTGGTTACTGCATATTCATAGTAACATTCTGCAGCGTATGGTCTTGCACTTAGTGTTCACATGTAATATCCTCGATTACGTACTCCAGCATGCTAAGAATTTTTTTGCGGACTCTCTAAATGTTTAAGGTTAGAAACTATGTTTGTTGATTAATCATATACTTTATGTTCATAATTTTGTGCATATTATGAACATTGAAGACATAATCACGGAAAAAATGGATATTGGATCCAACTATAAGCTATATTAGAAATGTTGGTATTGTTGTTTACTAATCTTTACTAAATCTCAAATTGGGTTTCTGGAACTCCTACTTATGTTATTTTTAAAGTATAGTGTACAACTGGTTTGTCAATTCCTTCTTAGGCATAATGTTTAACTACACATTAAAGTAACAAATCCATGTGTGCACCAAATGTGCTTCATGATCTATAAGTATTTTGACCAGAAATTGATTGCTAAAGTTATGTCGATGGCTAGTTTATTTCACTGTTGTTATAGTCTATTGCCAGTGACGTCCAATCCTACTCTCTGTATGAAAGTAACACGGTCATTAGCAATAATAAACCCAACAAAGGTTGGGGTTGAATCCCACAAGGAGTAGGTGTGTGTTAGAGTGTCCAAATGCGTGCAAACTCGATGATTCTTAATGTAATCTTCAAACAAAGAGTGGTCGTTCAATTATGTCTACAATTACTACTAAAGTTTGACTAAGGATTTCTATCAAACACGTAGAGTGAAAATAAGATGATGTAGTTGTAACAAATAACCACCTCCACATGGCCAATCGACTCAACAACATGCTGCACTAAATGATGGCTATGCAATTGCAATTGTCCCCCCTCACATTAGGGCGGAAAATTTTTAAATTACAAATGTCATGCTCACCTTGCTTGAGCAAAGAGGCTACTTCACCGGAGCACCTCATCAAAATGCATACAAGCACTTAAAGGGATTCGTAGGTGCTTGTTGGGGAAGTAAGCAAACAAATGTGTACGAAGACGCTTTGAAATTGAGGTTGTTTCGTTTCTCCCTAAGAGAAAAAGCCTTGGGTTGGTTGGAGCGCTTACCAAACCATTCTATCCATAATTGGGATGAGTTAGTGAAGAAGTTTATTGCCAAATTCTTCTCATCCGGTAACATGGCTACATTAAGGGATGAAATCTTGGCATTCAAGCAAGAAGCGAATGAGCCACTTCATGAAATTTGGGAACGCTATAGAACCATAGTGAAGGAATTCCCTAATAACGATATGACCGAGAACATGTTGCAACAAACCTTCTATATTGGGATTAACACAACCAATCAATGTGTAGTGAACCAACTTGCCGATGGAAACTTCATGACTACACCTTACCCAAAGGTTTGTGCCATACTTGATGAGATAGCAGAGATGTCATCCGCTTGGCAATCCCGAGCAAATGTTCCTCAAGGGGATCCGAATATGATTCACCTCAACAAGGAGTTGCAAGATCATGGTCAAGACATTGTCGAGTTGACCACCACTATGAATCAACTTGCAAAAGTGCAACTTGAAAAAACTCAAGCATCGCGGGAAGTACATGTTGTGGAAGGTGTTCATGTCTTGGGTTCTAAGCAAAATATGAAGGGTAATCAACGTCAACCTCAAGAGGAGATGTACTCACAAGATAATGGACGCTACACTCAAGATGACTCATATCAAGAGCAAAATGAGGAAGTTCAATTTGTGAGAAACTATCAAAATCAATGAGGTAACTTTCAAGATCTAGCTGAGGACAATGGAGGCCGAGTAATAACCAAGGCACTAGGGGAATAACAATTGATAAGCAAGGATTTTGACCATTTATTTGCTCTCTTTTACTTGCATTTTAGCACAAAAATGCTTAAAGATATTTCCGAAAACTAAAGAAATGTGCTTACTTGCAAGAATATTGGGAAATGAACCAAAGAAGTCAAAAGTGAACAAGAACCAAAACAGGGCAAAAAGGTAAGCAGTGCGGACCGCACAATTATAGTGCGGCCGCAAAGGGGAGATTTAGAGAGTAGTGTTTGGGCCAGCTAAAGGCATGCGGACCGCACCGAAATTGTGTGGCCGCGGGAGGTTAAGTACGGCCGCATTCATTATTATGCAGTCCACAGGATTGAAGAATCAGAGAGTTGTTTCAAGCCCAAAAGCAGGGAATGCGGACCACATCATTTTTGTGCGGCCGCATGATCAGAAGTACGGTCGCACCCATTTTTATGCGGACCGCAGAAGCCCCGAAGTTACAAGGCCAAGTTCTAAAGAATGCAGACCACACGATAATTTTGCGTCGCAGAAGCTCATTGTGTAGACCGCACCAGAATTATGCGGCCGCACAACCTTCGCATGGGCATTTTTGTCAGATATTTTCAGCTTAGTATAAATAGAATATTTTTTCATTTTTAGGTTAAGTTCGACTTTTAGAAGAGCACCTGAGCCATTTTCTTTACTGCTTTGACTAATTTTGTACTAGATTAATTTCTAAACATTAGATTTTTCTTATATAATCAACTATTATGCATTTTATTTTAATCTCTTCTTGTATTTCTTTATTTTTCATGAGTAGCTAAATATTTAGCTAGGGTTGTGGCCTAACCCTAGTGTGGGTACTTAATAGGTATTTAATTTAGGGCTTGTTTGTGATTGGGTTAGTAATATTTAGCCTTGTTTAAGTTTGAATTCTAGAATTAATAGTTGCAAACATTGATTCATGCCTATTTGACTTAGTCTTTACTTGAGAAAGAGAGAATAAGTCTAGGAAAACTTGGCTAACAAGGAATTAGGGTGAACTCAAGAAATTGATAGCCCCAATTAAAGGGTCAAATCTAGAGATAGTAAGACCCGACTTGAGCATATATCACTTGATTTGTGCAATACCCATTTGGACTTGAGAAAGCCAAATTGGGCAAAATCACTCAAACTACCAAGAGGTATAGAGTGGGTAATTGCGTGTGATTGCGATCTTACAATCCCGGCTAATCAAACTTGACCTAGAGTTTATAATCTTAGGTAACCACCTAGGTGAGAGTCACAACCCTAGATCTTTTATCATTTGAAAAACAACCAAAACCAAAACATTGTCTTCTAGTTTATTAATTGCAATCAATAGTTTAAAGTAGAAATAGAAACAACTAACAAGAATGTGGAAGTGCAAATTGAGGCACATTATACAATTACAATAGGTGTATACCTAATCCTATTTCTAACTCCCTGAGGAATCGATCCCGACTCATGTTGGGTTTTATTATTGCTTCGACCGCCTCACTACCTATAATTGTGGTGTGATTTTGGGCGAGATCAACAATCAAGGAGCTTGGGGAAATAACAATCAAGGAAACCATGGTTGGAATGATGGTAATTAAGGTAATCGAGGTGGTACATCTTCCCAACAATATCAACAAAGATCCTACCAACCTCCTACATACAACCAAGGTGACTCTTCAACTCTTAACCAACTTTTAGGGATGATGGAAAAGATGATCAAGAATCAAGAGCAAACCGACAAAGAGAGGCGACAAATGAATCAAGTGGTGGCTTCTGATACCACTTCAATCAAACAAATTGAGACTCAATTGGGTCAAATGTCTTCTCAATTGAATGTGAGACCACAAGGATCATTGCCTAGCGACACAATTCCAAATCCAAAGGGAGATGAGGGTATAAAGCGAATGTTTGCCATTTTAACAAGGCGGAGCAAAATTCTAAAGAAGAAATCCATTGTAGTTGAGGATGACGATAATGAAGAGGAATTACCTCTCAAATATGCTTTTCCTAAGGTCAAGAGTCCCAAAGTTCCTAAGGTGGCTCATCCCAAGGTTGATGATCCTCCTAAAGTTGATGAAGTTCCTAAGCAAGATGTACCTCTCGTGGTCAATAAGACACCCAAGGCGGTTGAAGTTCCCAAGTGTGCGGTGCCAATAGTAAGTCCAATTATTGTTGAAGAGGTACAAGCACCTCTCAAAATGCAAGGGAAGTCCCTTCAAAGGAGAAAGAACCAATAAATGAGGCAAGCAAGGAGGCACCTAAATTGTACAAGCAATTATGGAGACCGCCTCCTCTGTTTTCACAAAGATTTGCAAAGCAACAACAAGAAGGCCAATTGCAAAAGTTCTATGGTATGTTGAATCAAATCACCATCAATGTGCCTTTTGTGAAAGCTCTTGAAAATATGTCGGGTTATGCTAAATTCATGAAGGACTTGGTCACTAAGAAGAAGAATGCTAATTTTGAGACCATCAAGGTCACCCATCAATGTTTTGCAATTATCTCACAAACCGAGATTAAAAAGATAGAAGACTCGGGGTTTTTTACTATTCTTTGTGCTATAAGATTGACAAGCTTCACAAAAGTTTTGTGTGATTTGGGGGCTAGTATCAATTTGATGCTCTATGCCATATTCAAGAAGTTAGGTTTGGGGGATCCTAGACCTACCACAATGAAGTTGTTAATGACATATCGGACGTTGAAGAAACCATTGGGTGCCATCGATGATATCCTTATCAAAGTGGATCGATTCTATTTTCCCGCCGACTTTGTAATATTGGATTGTGAAATGGATGTAGAAATTCTAATCATCCTTGGCAGGCCTTTCTTGGCTACCGGGCAAAGCTATTTGTGATGTTGAAGCGGGAGAGCTCAAATTTAGATTGAATGATGAAGAGGCAATTTTTTATATACAAAAATCAATGAAACAACCACATGAATATGGTGTGATATCCATAGTTGATGTGGTGGATGATGTAGTTGACGATGACATGGAAGATATTTGCATGGAAGAAGCTCTACAAGCGATTCTCGGCAAAATACATAAGTTACCCCCCGAACTATGACCCAAATCCCTGTTACACACTTTCTAGGAACGAATATTACTTTATATACCCAACCTTTCTAAAGTGTATCTAATACACACTGCTTTGCCCACGTGGATAGTGCGTGTTTTTTCCAACAAATGAGTCGCGTGAACAGAAGAATTTTGTGTCAGATGTCAATTTTTTTTAGTTTTTTAAAATTTTAAATTGAGTCATCTTCTTCCTTTTTAAAGATTCTGCCATAGCTACTCCTTGAGCTCCACCACCCGATCTCCTTCTTCTCAAATAGATATACCACGATTTTTTGTATCTCTTCTCGTTGTAGAGAATCTTAACTTGAGCTTTACCCATGGCGNTAGAGAAGCTTAACTTGAGCTTTACCCATGGCGAAGTCAAATTTTTAGGAAGCGAGAATTTTCCGAAATTTTTTCCAACCATTAAAGCTTAGCTCAAGATTTTGCACATTCTTTAATTTTATTAATGGATGATTTTTTAAATAGTTGACTTGTGGCGATGGCAGTTAATGGCGGTCGAACTTTTACCAAAGTGAAATGAAAAATGAGTTGGATCTGGGCTAAAAAATTTTGATTCAATTTCAGCGGAAAAGATGGAGTTTTGGGTGTGTTTTTCTGGTGATTTTTGTTAATTAATGGTGGCTTTGTTATTAAGTAAAAGGTGGAGGAAGAAGCTATGATGTTTGATGGTGAGAGAGGAGGAAGACAACCATGGTAGTTTAGATGAGGAAGATGAGGGGTATAATTGTAATTTAATTTTTTTTTATTTTTTATTTTTAAAAATGACACGTGTCACTGTTTGATTGGTGCATGATATTGCACATATTCTGAAAAACTGGTTAAGAAAAAAATGGTGTGTCTTAGATACACTTTGGAAAGGTTGGGTATGTAAAGTAATATTCGTTCCTGGAAAGTGTGTAACAGGGATTTGGGTCATAGTTCGGGTGGCAACTTATGTATTTCAGAATGAGGCCATGGAAGGGTACAATGAAGTCGTGATGGCTAAGGAGGGACTCAGTTTATATTCTTACAAGTCCGAGAAGATGTCCCTTGACTTGGAAAATCGAGTTATTCCTCCAGCCAAATCTTCCACTATTAAGTCACTAAAGTTCAAGCCAAATTGGGTTGATCCAACAAACTTACGAGTGTCTCAACTCAATGCAATGGATGAATTTCAGTTTCAAGCATATAAGAGTGATTTTTTGTATAATCAAAGAACAAAGTTCCTTCATAGAAAGGAGATCACCAAAAGGGAGTTTCACCCCGGGGACTTGGTTATTCTTTACAATTCTTGATTTAAGTTGTTCCCGGGCAAGTTGAAATCAAAATGGTCCGGGCCATTCAAGGTTGTGCATGTTTACCCATTTGGTGCCATGGTTTGGAGTCCGACGATAGTAAAAGGATCTTGAAGTGAATGGACAATGGATTCGGCATTATTTAGGTCCCATTAATACTATATGAATGGTCTCAGAAGTTGAATTAGGGGAACCCCCAATAGCATCTTGAGCTGTGTTCAGTATTGTGTCGTGCCACGATATTAAATAAGGCGCTTCTTAGGAGGTACCCCAAGCTCCTTTTATTCTTGCATTTTTATTTTATACTGGTTGTGTAATGTGTTCTTATTTACCGTGAAAATGGTAATAACAATTAAATTTGATTATGGGACTCTAAAAATACGTGATCTATTTTTATGCTAGTTGTTAAGTAGTTGATGCTATGTATGTGACTTGGAAACGAGATAAGAGTTAGGGATGAGGTGATAACCAAACCGATAGGTTAACAATTGAGGCCTCGAGCTTGTCGATTCAGAGACCTCGAGGTCAATTCCGGGGCTCGGCTGGGAGCTATCGTAGGCAATCGAAGAGCGACTAACGGTTATAATAAAATCAATGAAGGCTCTTTATGGCCAATGATAAGCAATAAATGAAGATAATAAATGAAAGCAATAATATCAAGAGAATATGTTAGAGAGCAAAGAGAATGTTTTTGTATATTTCGTGTGGAGCAACTGAAGCAACCGAGGCTTACAAAATGACAAGGATCCCATTTATATAGGAAGAAAATCCCAACATAGTACAAAATACATTAATGATAAAAAAAAAGCAGAGATGGGACAGCTAGATGACATCCTGATTAAGAGTTAGGGTAGTTCACTAGGCTCCGTCAGTCCTAGCCATGTGCCTTGGGAACTCCCTATTTCTACTGTGGTTGCGGTCAACATTGTCCCAAGACCGGGCGTCGACGAACCTCGAGGGAGGAAACTCGCCCATAGCCTTGTAGCCTCGAGGTTTCGAGATGATCTTCTGAGGTGCCTCGATGACGAAAAATTGGACCCTCTGATTTCGCTGTATACAGATAGTCCCCACGTTTCTTAGAGAGAAGCGATGACAAACGATTTTGACATCCGACTCTTCGGACTTCCCGCGATGATGTCATACCGATAACGCAAGCCTCCGTGATTACCGAAACATCCCGTCGTTTCGCTTCTCCAGGATCATTCAAAGCATTGTGGTTTCTCATTCTTCAAAGCCATAATGTCACCACCGGTTCAGCTCCCAATGACACATTAAATGTGCCTGTCGTTACGTCTTTCGAGGGCGATAATGGCGATGTCAGTTACGTTGCCTCCCTTTTTATAAACGGGAGCCTCCTGAGGTCAACCTTTCATCCAAGTATCTTCCACTATCTATCCATTCTTCTCTTCTTACTATCCTTATTCATTTTCGTTCACCATGTTTGAGGCTCATGGCCTCAAGATTGTACGGCGGCATTTCTATCAACCATGCCACGGCCTATCTCCTGGACTTTCTCTGGTCGAGTGAGATTACGCCATTTTGTTGTTGTTGTTATTTCTGTCGTCATTGGCTCGGGACGACGAAGCAGGGGACCGATTCTCCTGACCCAGGAAATATTTGGACTCTATACCGCTGCTCAAGAGGGAGCTAATACTATACACCGCTGCTCACCTCCTCCGATTACCCGGTGAGGTACCTTACTCCCTTTGCTTTCCATGGAGTTAGGTGGTACTATATACTAACTGTTGCATCCCGCACTAGGGCAACGTCCCAAGAAGTGGCTTTACATTAGTAGCCTGGCGAAATCCATACTAGCCAGATTTTTTACCCAGCCACTTCTTCGTTCCTTTCTGCCTTTTCCGCGTCACTTTGCTCTTCTCCATCGCTTTCCTCTTCGTCATCTCCCCTTTTGAATATGCCATTCTGGAAGATCGGGGTAAGACTCCCGAGGAGATAATGCTCGAAGATGCTGCTGCTGAGAAAGTGCCTTTGAGAGTAGGCTAGGCTCTAGTCTTTTACTATATGTGTACCTTTTCACTTCTTTGTTTCTGTGTAAGGACCTTCGTGGGCTTTTTTAATCATATGTAAGGACCCCTCGTGGGCATTTTTAATTAAAAAATTTTATGAATACAAAGGAGTTTCTTCAATTTTATCTTCGATGCTTGTTGTTTTCCCTTTTATTTACGTTTATGGAGATTCTGAATGTATGACTCTACCGGTTGCTGCTAATATCGAGCCCAGATGCGAGTGTTTTTTCCTAATTTTTGATTGATTAGTATGGATTCTCGTGAATTCCTTCACCGTTCCTTGGATCAAGCCTGGATTGGACCGATAAACTTGGGTCATCGGGGCCCTTACTTCGAGTCGAATGAAAGTAACGCTTTGAGCCTTGAAACTGTGATTTATCACTTAGGCTCCGCGGTAATATTTGAGGGGAAGTTTGCTCGGAGGCCCATGGATAGGGACTGCCTTTGAGCTTTCGAGGGCAGTCCCCAAGTGGAGGTTCGTTCAAATCCGGACCACCTGAAAACTTGCTTTGAACTTAGTGTAGATAGCCTTAAGGCATTATAGATAGATCCTGAAAGAGGGTTTGTCCGAACTCAAATGGTACCCCGGGGCTACCCATAGGGTTGGAGTTTAAGTGCTTATTTCCATGGATCCTAACTTCTTTTTGACGAAAGTCCCCGAGGTCGGGTACCACCTCGAGCCTTGTAATGATTTCATTGGCTTCTTGGAGCCTAACCTCTTTTGATGGAGGTCCTCGAGGTCGGGTACCACCTCGGGACTAGCGATGATGTCGTAGGCCTTTTAGAGCCTAACTTCTCCTCTGGAGGTCCTCGAGGTTGCATACTACCTCGGGACTGGCAATGATGTTATTGGCTTCCTAGAGCCTATCCTCTCCTTGATGGAGGTCCTCGAGGTCGGGTACCATCTCGGGACTAGCGATGATGTTGTTGGCTTATTGGAGCTTAACTTCTCCTTGCTGGAGATCCTCGAGGTCGGGTACCACCTCGGGACTTGCGGTAATACGGGGATTTCCATTCTCAAAACATTACATGGCATTGCCTATTGTGCGATATGGTTGCTAAGTTGTTGGGGAGATTTGGTGATATCGTTCAGTGTTTTTAATCGGCTTTGAGGCAGGTGGATCGTCGCCGTTTTTTCCATATATATATAGGGATGTTTTTGCTCTTTTGGAGATCCCACCACTTTAAGCAGTTGCCCTTCTCTTTCCATATCAAACCTTTCATTATTTCAGTACTAACGTACTTGCACAGATTCCCGCTTTAGTTCTCCAATTTTTCCATAGCCATGATTGCTAAATCGGGGTCTGACCGGCAGAGAGGGGAGAGCTCCGCCTCCAGCATTCAGGACAAACGATAGTATGCCTTGAAGATTGCTTCTTCGATAGGAGAAGAACATCTTGGGTTAGTGAGAAAAGACTACGGATGTGGGGAAAAGGTAGTGTTACAGATACTTTCCCTAGGTGAGGGCATCACG